GTTACCACTTATTGATACGGTAATGATATAAATCGTTATCCTAGCCTAAACGTCAAATTATTTAAGTAAAACCTATATACGCGAGCTACGCCGCGGGCACAGCTAGTCTATATAAATAAAATGATAGAGTTTTGCAGTTGTGCGCACATCACGGAGAAACTACTGGATAGGTCACAATTAGCACGCACGCACACACGTTGCGCTTGAAAATAAGTGAGAAGTTCCATGGATGACCTGCAGGGTTAACCGTTTTTCAGATATATTTTTGAAGACTCAAGGTACAATTCCGTAGCCGACCGTAGACAGCAGCAGCAGGCGATGTGTCGCTGCAGTCATGATTCCGAACCCGACTGCAGGCGGCTGCAGCCCGTGTTCCAATCTGTTCCGAATGTCCTGTGGGTACTCTATTTATGTAAACAAAAAGGTACTATATATATATATACCTATTTACCGCTTTTATTTAACTCCTTTCCTATATTTATTCAAATATTATCTTTTGTCACACTGTTTAAATAATTATTGTGAGATGCATCGTACAGTGCGGGACTGCGGGATATTGGGCCACCTGGTTTATCAGTTTCTCTTCCACGAAATCGGTGAGACTCATTTTTTGAAAAAAATTCAACGTGTCGCTCGGATGTTGGCAGCACTACTGATCTGCGGTCGCACGACATGTCGTCTGTCGCTCCGGCAAACGACGTGTTGCTAGCTACGGAAGGTATTTCATAGAACTACATAGAAACCAGTGGTGTTGCGACGACACGTCGCCTGCTGCGACGTGGTCGGCTACGGAATGGTAACAAACGCATTAACAAACCCATAATAATATGATAAATGCGAAAGTAACCCTTTTTATCGGTGACAATTTTAGACTCAAACTTGGTACGGAGAAAACTTTTAACTTTTTTAAACCCTAGTGTGAAGGTTTGTATGCAATTCTTTCTTTTTTGAAGCTGGGAAAATTAAAATTGAAATGAAGTTAAAGGAATAAAAAATGATTATAGGTGTTTTTGGAACTTCCATTCCTAAGGGGTATTATAACAACGGATGTAAGTCCGTCCATATCATCATCCCATATCATCATCAGCCCATACAGTGTTTCCGTAGTTTTTGAAAATAGAATACAATTTTTTTTAGAAAGAAAGAAAATTACATTCTTTACCGTTTTTATAACTAAAAAAAACTTAAGTAAAAGCGTAACTTCAGTGGTACGATGGCAGCTGATACCCGCGACTTCGTCCGCGTTGTTTGATATATTAACAAAGTTTTCGATATATATTGACGGCTCCGTGGCGCAGTGGCTTAGCAATGAGTTGCAGCAGTTCGAATCCCGCACGTAACAATTATTTGTATGGCCTAGAAATAATTGTTCCGGGTCTGGATGTTTGTCCTTGTGAAATTTATGTATGTTAACTGCCCCCCACTATTCAGGAGAAAATTCTAGTGTAGGTAACGTTTTAAAAAAAATAAAAAAAAGTATACTTATATAAACACGACTATAACAAAACTAATTATATGAAAATTAGTTATTTAACGGTGAAAAATTACTGAGAAGACTATAGGAAACTACGGGGGGCGATTGATCAAGGTTCTCAAGTCGCTCGCGAAAATAATACGCGGCTGGCCCTAACTTTATCATGAGGCCGAGGTAGAAGAAACTTCCCCTCCTAGACATGCGCGCAACATCGCTTGCCCCACTTCTCCGCGGCAAGAAAACACACATCACTGAACACGTAGTGCTTATAAAAATCGTTGTTTCTTAAAACTTTAATCACTTTATATTAAATGAAGATATCGAAATATTTTTTTTTCAGATAAGGGCCAAGTGTCTAAGAAATAAAACTTAGAAAACCTAATTGAAATCTATCCAGTAGTTTCTCCGTGATGCGCGCACAACTGCAAACCTCTATCATTTTATTTATATAGATTTTATTGAAATGGCATCAAGGAAGATGGATTCGTAAAAGCAGAAAGTACTTATCGATCAAGTGTAAATACATTGATGGTGGCAAAATTGTTTGCATGCATGCGATTTTTGTTCTGTCGAGTTGAGTAATGTTAAAATATCAATGTAAGTACCTATTAACAACTTTTATTTAAACAATAACACACTACCAGATCAGTATCTTTTGATAATACATAGTCATGTTTATCTATGACTAGCTGTGCCCGCGGCGTAGCTCGCGTATACAGGTTTTACATAAAGAATTTGTCGTTTAGGTAAGAGAATATTAAACGATTTATTTCATTACTGTATCAATAAGTGGTAAAAAAATAAATCATTATCATCAAAGTTCTAAGTCGTTTATGATAGAGCTTCTGTGTAAACGACGTTAGAAGTAGGCTTAGCCGGGGTATACACAAAAAGGTTACGGGGGCTACTAACGCGGGAAAAAGCAACATAAGAGTTGGCCATGTGCAAAACAGTCAGTACTGAGGTACACTCCTACAACGCGTAAAGTTTGACCTTGCGCTTTATTTACGGTCATCGCATAACACACATTCACTGTAACTGGGAACTGAACGCGCTTAAAACTGAAAGGAAAGTTACATCTTAATAGAGGGTTTTTGGGCAGTGCTGCCAGATAAAAAAACTCATTCAGCTCTAGGACAACACAAAAAGCGCTAGATTTCATGAAAACAGCGCTTTAAAAAAGCCCTAGATTTCGCGCTAAATTAACTACAAACAAAGTTTGTGTTTTTTTATATAATCATAATAAAGAAAACAACATTAAGTTTTTTTTCTGGCAATATTTTTTTGATGTATCAATACTTCGCAGGACATCGACTTATAATTATAGCAATTGCTGTCAACAGTAGTTAGTACTGTACGAACAATAAAAATGTCATTAATTGTTTTAAAGTGCAATGTATTTCGCAACTTAGTTTCAGATGTCAGCATCTGATTGCGGTTGCTACACAGTTTCTTTGTGTTATAACTTCTAAGTAACTTTTAACTTAGCTGTGCTCTAAGCAACTGACTGAAACTGAATAAAGCATAATAAATGCGTTGCCAAAACCATGAACGAAAACTTTAATAAAGGGGATTTCCCCGCTTATAGTTGTCGGTAAAAAAATCAAGTTGATCATTCTAAAGGGGAAGCCAGGAGATCCATAGCACAGGGTATCCTAGTTTGGACTCGTCTCCCATGCTCTTTGTTTTGTGGAAAAAATATGTTTGAAAAAGATAAACTGCAATGTACTATTTGTGGGAAAAAATAATAAAGGTCATTATTATTATTATCGTTAATGTGGACTAACAGTGCTGCTATAAAAGAGTTAATAACCCGCTAGTCGCTAAAATATTGAAATGTGTGCTAAATACACCAAAAAGCGCTGGATTAAGCGCTAGGTGCTAAAATTTCGAAATGCGCGCTATACATTCCAAAAAAGTGCTAAATCTAGTTCCCAAAGCGCTAAAATGGCAGTTCTGATTTTGCGTATAATATAAATACAATATCGCGACATTTAGATTTAGTTGCGAAATTCTTATTTTTGGTCTGGTTCCGTTGTATTGCTTTGCTGGATACAAATTTCTTCAGTAAGTCTCAATACGATTCATCGGCGAAAAATCTCAACACTGCAATTCAGAAAAGTTTGTAATTTGTACAACTCCATCTATTACGTCCTTTGTGTGAGAAAACATCCTATCTCTTTCTGTGTTTTAAGTATAAATATATTAATTATTATGGAACGTTTTTTTTACACAGAAATCTTTTTATTACTATTTCTGAGATTTTATGGCGCCATTGAACAAATTCGAAACTACATTTCAAAATAATAATCATTACTTTCGATATAATTAACCAATTTTAATAAAACAAAGATTAAATGTAACTCGAAGATACGCTTTATGATATTCTTAACCATTTCTTTGAAAATAAAAGATGTTTACTTTAGACGTGATGCGTTCATATAATAACAGACAAATAGACAGACAGACAATTCTAAAAATTATAAAATGTTCTTATTTAATTATTTTCAGTTCATCATAATGATTTTAGCCACCAAAATATATATACAATGTACAGAAAGAGACACATGTTATCATCATTTTTATTATATGTATATATTTAAAGAGAGATGGCGCTGCTAACATCATCAATTCTAAAAATAAAAGAGATTAATTAACGCGATTGATACATTATATAAAACGTAAGAGAACTTATAAATCAGTGCCTGCACAGTAAGCAAAAAATAAAGTTTGACTCTCGCCAAAACCAATGCAATGGTTAATAGCTCTTTTAAAATTTGATTTACCACATAGAGTACTCGGCGGTAAAGAACAAATTGAGTTTGTCAACACGCAGTAGGGCAGCGAGTAATATAATAAAGATTAGCAGTAAATATGAAAACTCATCTACAGGTAAAAACGACATTTGCAATTGCATTACATTTTCACAACACCACCATCTATCGAAGAAATGGGTTAACTATTGTGCTTCAGATTTAGTTAATAACGTTAATATATTTTTGTATAATATATTTAATACGTTCTTTATTACTTTTGTTTACTGCGTTTTAGATATACATAATTATTTATCATTATTTTACATAATTTAACTACGATTTATGATATGATATTAGTTTAAAATGCACTTGATGACTCAAACAAAGCCACCGTTGAGCAAATTCGTACCTATACTTCCCTACCCATACTTCAGAATATTTATCATAACTTTTGATGGAATGAACTGATTTTAATGAAATAAAGACTAAATGTAACCCGAAGATACACTTTATAATTTCCTTAACAATTCTTATGATATAAATTAGTACTTTATACGTGATACGTTAACAAACAAACAGACAGACAGACAGACAGACAGACAGACAGAAAATTCTAAAAATGGTAGAAATGTATTTAATTACTTATTTTTAGTACCCCTCAATCACTTTTATTACAAAAATATAAAATGTACAGACATCTGCTATTTACAGTTTTATTATATGTATAGATTAGTGGTTAGAATGTCACATAACCTATTTTTTGTTTTCAGGTCCGAAAATCTTACGGGATGAAACAACAGATATAAACTAAATACTATGTATAGCTCAAGAGGGTGCAAAACACATGTGTAGTTAAGTGTACAATACACAAAGTAATTCTCCATGTCCTTCTCCAACTAAAACATGCAATAATCTTTACGACATTTGAAATCATTAGTTATAACCACAGAATAAATAATAGTCTTGTACAAGACTATTATTTATTCTGTGATAATATCTATTACAAAATTTGTCTTACAATACCTATCGGCTCATGATGTTTTGTTTTGGTTTAAACGATAGTTAATTATAAGTCACACTCACATCAAAGTGATTTTCATAGAAGTATAGTCTAATTTTTGTATACAATGTATTCGGGTCTCTTCTTGCCAGTTTTGAAGTCGGTTGTACAATTTTTTTATTTTACCACTTATTTTAATTAAAATGTAGTGACGAACTAACTTACAGTCCACGAGATGGTACGTAAGTAGTAAGAAATTTATTTTCAAAAAGACAAACAATGCTATTTACATGAAAATAATAATAACATTTTAGTCGACTTATTCTAATGGTCCCCACTCACGGTCAGTTAAACTGAACAGTTTAACTGACGTACATCCAAAAACTGACCGTGAATGTGAAATCTTAAGTTGAAATTTTTAACTGAAGGCAGCACACGGATTTTATTCGGGCGTGCTATCAGTTAAACTGCTCCGTTGAACTGACGTACATCCAAAAACTGATCGTGAATGTGAAATCTTAAGTTACAATTTTTAACTGACGGCAACCCACGTATTTTTCCGGGCGCACCGTAATCCGCTGGCTTCAGTTCGTTTCCATTATTGGTAAGTACATACTTTTCTTAGTAGCTTTTATATATATATTTTATAATTTTTTATAACATGTTTTTAGATTTTAATTTATATTTATATTTTAAGATTTTATTTTTATTATTTTATATATTTTTTTTATTAAAAAAAACGCTACCCCCACACTAGGATTTTCTCCTGTATCGCGGAGGCAGTTTACAAACACAAATTGCACAAGGACAAACATCCAGACCCGGAACAATCAGAATGTAGGCCATACAAGTACTTGTTCCGTGGGGGATTCGAACCCGCGCCGCAATTCATTGCTAAGCCACTGCGCCACGGAGCCGTCATATATATTTAGAGAAGTTGGTTTGACAGAGGATGGAGACCAAGGTGATGGTAATGATGTCACCTTCCTTATGGTGGACTCAGAAGGTGGGTTCTCAGTGATGCTACTACGTAGAACCATCGTGTTTGGACTCATTTTCAAATAGGTAAATGGAGACCTAGATGACTGGGATGATATCACCTTTATGTTGGTGCAATCCGAAGGTGGGTATAGGATCTCAGTGACGACAGTAGATAGAAAGACCGCGTTTGAACTCATTTGAATGGGCTCAAAAAGACCTAGGTGACTGTTATGACCTCACCTTTTTGATGGTGCAATCCGAAGGTGGATATAGGATCTCAGTGGCGGCACTAGATAGAATGGTCGTGTTTGAGCTCATTTGAAAGGGTTCATAAAGACCTAGGTGACTGTTATGACCTCACCTTTCTGATGGTGAAATCCGAAGGTGGATATAGGATCTCAGTGGGGGCACTAGATAGAACGATCGTGTTTGAGCTCATTTGAAAGGGCTCATAAAGACCTAAGTGACTGCTGTAACCTCACCTTTCTGATGGTGCAATCCAAAGGTGGATATAGGATCTCAGTGGTGGCACTAGATAGAAAGATCGTGTTTGAACTCATTTGAAAGGGCTCATAAAGACTTAGGTGACTGTTATGATCTCACCTTTCTGATGGTGCAATCCGAAGGTGGATATAGGATCTCAGTGGCAGAAAACTAGGCCATCCTAACTATTTCCATTACTAAAAACCGATAAGCATTATCTGGTCATCATTTTTTTCAGTCAGATTTTTTTGGGTTCACCATAACAGGAGTGCAAATTAGTATAAGTGGGGTGTCGCCCGCTCTACAGATAGGTAATTTAATAAACAGATAAAAATAAATAACACATTTATTAAATAAATAAAATTTACCATAATGAGTAAAATTATCATAATATCTGACCCATTTCTTAAAAGTGTCTTAATACTGACCTTATCATGAATAAAAATATCTTTTGAAGTGTTAATATAGAGGAAACGTTATTTATATACCTATATACGGAACGGATTTCATTTCTCGATCGATGAAGTCGCAGCCGTGCGCGTTTAGTTGGCGTGGCCTATAAATTAAAAATATCATTTCCTATCTATTAACTAGCTGTTCCCCGCGACTTTGCCCGCGTGTAATTTATTACGATTGGATTTCATGGGTTTTAATTTTTTTGCATCGAACCCTAATTCTTTTTCTAAATTAAAATTAGCCTAAGTTCCTCCATATAATATCAGTTATCTGCCACTGAAAGTCTCGTCAAAATCGGTTCAGCCGCTTCGGAGATTAGCCGGAACAAACAGACAGACAGACAGACAGACAGACAGACAGACAGACAGAAAGATAGACAAAGATTTTAAAAATTGTGTTTTTGTTATAAGTACTGTATGTACTTTCATATGCATTTAGTAAAAAACTATTATTTTGACATTACATATAGACATTTCAATTTTATTTATTTGTATAGATATATATTAATAGTCAGGAAATGCTGTTAAATAAGTCTCCTATAAAGTGATATTTTATAGGAGTCACGCAAACCAAACGCCCACGGCCACGCCCCACGTTTGAACTAGGACTGTTGATAAAATATCGATATATCGAAAAATCTATTTTATTATTTAGAAATACCGATATTTATTTCTAATAATTTTGACGACATATATTGAAATATAAGTTTGATATTGAAAAAGTCGATATATTTTTTAAAATAATTTAATTTTTTATTTTTTCACGTAAATTATTTTAATCTACAACACCATCGTAAACTTAAATCCTAATTCTTGATGGACTCAATCTACTATACTTTATTTACACTATATTATGTTTTTCATTTTTCCCCAGTTCATTTATTTGCTTATTATCTTAAAAAGAAATGTAATTTTGTAAAGTATATCTCTGTGATATTAAAATCAATATAACTTAGTACTACTTTACTTACTGTGAGATTTGGCAGGAGCTTGACCATTGACAGATGGTTGCTCCTGTTTTATCGTTTAAATAATCGTTTGAAGTGGATTTTTATCAAAGTGATGCACATAGTATTAAGTGTCTGCACATGTGAGCTATTAGAGAAAACGACGAAATAAGTACTTCGATGTTGGTATAAGCCTCAAGTTATTTTAATCGCTTAGGCGTCTTATGATTTACTTCCGTGCTATCAGAAATAGCTGTTAAATACTTGATTTCTTCAGCTGCATCCAAAGCATCTGAACGAATTACTTCTACAATCAATCTTTTAGTGCCCAATAATTGGAGTATTGAAACAGCTGAACATATAAAACAACGAATATTTTTGAAAACTCTTACTGACAAATATTGGTAAACATAATTGTCTTAAATAAATTAAACAATAATTCAAGTTAAAGTTACAGCCTATATACGTCCTAATGCTGGGCACTCCTCAGCTGGGCAGGCCTCTCCTAACTTCTAGAGGGTTTTAGGGCAAAGTCCGCCGCGCTGCCCCAATGCGTGTTGGCGAACTTCACGTTTTCTGAATTTTTTATTTTATTTCTCAGACATACAGGTTTCCTCACGATGTTTTCCTTCATCGCCGAGCACGTGGTAAATTAGCACTTAAAATTGCAATTAACAATTTCATTGGTGTCGGCAGTGATTGAACCCGGGTTGCTCGCGTACTGTGAAATTTACAGCGAGCGTTAACCATCTGAGCTACCATGGCTCTTTAATATAAAATAATTACTAAGAACTATAACCTAACATTTTCATACATTTATAATTTAATTTGTTTAATAAATATACTAAATTATAAACTGTGTGAATCATTTTTAAGCAATAAGCATCAATATATCGCTTATGGATCCCATATATAAAACTCCGATATTGATATATTTATAATTATCGATATATTGAAAATCCGATATTTTAAAAATATCAACAGCCCTAGTTTGAACTGATCAGTTGGAATGATCAGTTGAACTGACCGTGTGTGTCGAAATTTTTTTGGATTAAATCCGTTTGAAGTCATCAGTTGAACTGATGTCAGTTTAACTGACCGTGAGTGGGGACCATAATGGTCGCTGGACACTCAGTCAATAGCGTCACAGCCTTAATTGAATGGTGAAAAATGTTCAATTATATGTTGAGACAGTTGAGACTTAAAACTACTAAATGATCGTACATTTTTTATACTACAAAGCAATTTGTTATAAATCTGTGCTCCTTCAAAGGTAATACTTTTTATTGCATAGTTTGTTCGTATCTTTGGTAGTACAAGTAAGCTAGGTCGACGAAGACTGCGCTTGAATGGATGGATTTATCAATTATTTTCCTAATTATAATGCAAGTATTATATAGGTATATCTAGTAGTTGAACGTTCATAAGTTTTGTTTCTTTGAAAGTTTTAAAAGTTAGTGTTAGATACGGATAATGAAAAAGTATTTTTATGATTTTATTTTGTATCCTTTAAAGTTCCTGTAAATTAGGTTTAGCAGCGTTGCCCCAAATTTCTATAAGATAAAGTAAATGTGATTTGACAAATGAGTTATAGATAGTGTACCGCATTTTTAGGTAGACAATGGGAAATATTGTGAAGTGATCCAGTAAGTGCCGAAAGATTATTGTTAATGTTATCTATTTGCTTATTCCATGTTAAGTAGGTAGGTAGCTGTCCATTCTCAAGTATTTTTCTCAGGTTTTTGTTCAAAGGGGATGCTATCAATTGTCAATGGGACGTAGTTATACAAAAACGTTCCAACCCACAAGTCATTCAAAAATGAGTTAAATATACAGATCTACTTGTTTTGAATCGCTTCGCGAAGATGTCAAAATAAGTAGACCTGTATATTTAACTCTATATTTGAATGACTGGTGGGTTGGAAC